GAAGTTTGCTTCAGCTCTCCGTTCAGAGCAATCTTAAAGAAATTGCAATTCCTGGGGCACAGTGTGCTGGTGTTTAACTCCAACTATTGTGTTGTATTGCAGTTACCTTCTGACACGCTATGCAGAATCACTGGGTCAATATGCTGCTGCATCCCAATCCTGCAATTTTGCACTCAGGTTTTTCCACTCCAACCAGAAAGATGTAAGTGAAAGTAACTTCTACCCTGACTGCTATCAGAACAGTTGTCCAGACAACTTATAGGAGACCATGTCTAATATAAAGACTTGTATGGGACTTACACTGGTGGGATTGCAGTAAAAAAAAATCGCACAGATAATATGCTTGTTTGTCGTGGTTATGGTATATCTTATTTAGCCATCCTTTCTTATTTATACAATTAACTTCACCACAGGACTTCGTTTCACTCTGGAATTCTGCTTCCAGCTCCTTATTTTCTTGAATCCTACATATTCGAATTACATTTGGGAAATGTTGATGTTGCCGTTTTTGTATGATGCCTAAGAATAAGTACTTTCTGCATTAACATAACTAAAACATAACGCAGCCAGCCTCTGTGATTTACACCATCACATTTAGGATTTGGGGAAGACACTTTTGGCATGGGGTGCCTTGTTAAGATCCTGACATTCTAAACATTTAGATCTGAAACCTTGCAGTGCAGTGGTTGAAATGGGATAACTTTTTAATGACTATACTGAGGAGTCCCGGGCTGTTGGGATGCAGCTCATGCAGGAGCATGGTGGCAAAGCGAAGAGAATACAAATAACACTAACTTTATTGAGAACTTCCACACCAATAAAGCAGAATAAAACTGAAGAGTAGAAACAATATTTTGGAGTAAAAGATGAAGGCTGTGGGTTTTGCGAAGGTAATAAAAGCTGTTGTTTCATCTGCCTTTAGCAAGTGGCATGACTTAGAGCAGTGGTCTTCAAACTGGGGTAGGCATACCCCCAAGGGCTTGCAGTGCTTTGCCAAGGGGTACTTGCCTAAATTTTAATAATGGCAGTGGAGCTCTTGATTTCTCAGTGCATGGTGAGTAGTAGCATTGGTGGTCATGGGCACAAGTGTGGACACACTTCCAGTGGGATGAATGTGCGGAGTCATGAAGGATGTAGGGGACACGAGCAGCAATATTTTACAGGCAGGAATACACAAGCAGTAAAGCTTGAAAATGAAAGGAAGCACTTCCTGATTGAATGACAGACTTTAATGGGACTGATGGTGAAGAAAGGTAGCTGAACTCCCAGAAGAGCATTGATGCTTCCTAAACCTGTCCCTTGGCTAGGCCTCCAGAGCTGTTCACTTCTGTGTTTGTGTAATGGTGGTTGTCCTGACTTTTCTGCTTGGGCACCACATTTCCTTGGAAGAATCTTGGTATACCTGTAAGAAAAATGCCAGAATTTTCCTGGCATCCAATCCCAGCACTACACCAAAATGCCATTGGCTGAATAGAACAGTATAGTCAGTAATAAAAATGATGTTGCACTTACTGATTTCCCGACTCTCTTGGCAGGAATTTATTGTAGAAAACATTGGTTTGGATGAAAACATTGGAGGATGCATGCAAACTCTTGCTCCCCAGGAAGAATTCATGAGGCACGTCCCTTGGAGCAGGGAACAAACAATCCATGTAATAATATTTACACTGCAGTGATCACACCTTTTGATTGTCAAAATACCCCCGGAGTTTCTGCAGGAGAAAGCGATTCCCAATTTCCCAGTGTAAAGGACCTGACACGCAGAGGGGTGGTGACTTTGCCATGCTTTGTGGCTCAGCAGACATTAATGTTCAGGTGTTTGTGGTTCCTAAGCCAATGTCCAATCTAATGGTTCACTTTGCTGTGTGAAAATGCTTATATGATGCCTGCAATGCAAGCATCTTACAGAAAAATTCTCTGGGTCTCTCAGTAGCTGTCAGTTCTTTTACTCCTAAAGATGGAAATCAGAAAAATAGGGCTAGTCCATCTTTCTGCTCAAGGCAAGCTCAATCCAGACCTTTGGTACAGTAGCAGAGAGAGGTGTGAATGTATGGCATTTTAATAACTTGTTCTCTTACTTTATCTTAACTTACGTGTGTATTTAAACTGCTGATCTTAACATTTGAAGATCAAGTGTCTGGTGGGTACATACCACTGAAGTAAGGGCATGGCATCAAAACAAAAGCTTTCTGCCAAGCAGGAGTTTGGAGTCTGTTGCTGGTAGTCACTCTTATTACTGTTTCCAGGAGGGGCGAATCTCACTTTAAAAAAAAAAATGTTCTGGATTTGTTTCAAAGTAATTCAGCGGCTGTTAGTGGAGAAGGACACAGATGAGAGAGAATTGCTTTAACAGAGCAAAAGTTTGACTGCAGCGTGCCAAAAGGAAGATATGAAGATTTGAAGAAAACATTTAATGGATGCAGTTTACTTAATCTAGAGCTCTACATTGTAGAGAGGCAAGGGACCAGCTGGAAGACAGCCCTGATTTAGCTAACATTACTGTCTTGGAATCAACTTTGGACAAGGATCTTTTGTTTTGTATGAATCATAAAGGAGCTTCAGATGGAAAACACCCTGGCCTCTTTTTTTGGTAGCTCAGAGTACCTGTCCATATAATGAGCCACTAAGCCCCATCCCCTGTGGCATTAGGACGCACCTGACATGAGGAGCACTGCTGCCCAGTTCTACAATTCAGTTGCTTTTCAGGATTCGTGGAGTACCTCTTGCCTCTTATACTCCATTAATACCTCCTCTCAAAGGGTTTGAATCACAAGTGGAAAAAGATTAATTTGGACAATTTGTTCTTTGTGCAACTGGACCAAGGACACAATTCAGAAGACTGGTGCGTGTTTTCCTTTCCTCCTTGCGGAAGGAAGACAGTTGATTTCGAAAAGGCTAGACAGACCTGCCCTTGACTTCCTCGAGACGAGCATCAATTTACACTGTCACTGTTCCTAGATTATTTCTGATAAATATCAGCATTTAAGCTTGTGAAATGGGAAGTAGGCTGTTGTAAGCATTGCTTGCTTGCACATTAGCATTCATCTTTAATCCTGCTTCATTATAGGAAAATGCCAGAATCCCTCTGGCATTTTTCAGATTTCCCTAGAATTACAAGAGATGAAGGTTTGTTTCCAGAGTGGTGTTTGTACAGGACGATGGCATGCTAACTAGGGGGAAGACAGGTTTCCAGATGCAGAGGCCATCTCACAAGTTCAGCACCTCCTGGTCCCTTCCCTTCTGCTGTTCATTTAGGATTGCCTCTTTATCCTGCTAACAGCGCTCACATCGGTTTCTTGGATCCCCTTCCAATCCCAGCGCAGCATCTAACTGCAGTGTTAAAGGAGGACTGTTATTTAAAAGCTATCTTTTTCGCTGGGCTAAAATATACTGCCTGCTCCTTGCTTTCAGGAGTTTGTGTTGAAAAGTTTTCCAGATTTCCCTAGAATACATGCTGTCTCTGTGGTCCTGAGATCGAATACCGCGTGCCACGCAGTGCTCTGACCCCGGGATTCTCCCTGAAGCAGTCCCTCTCTCAAAAGTGCAGCTGTTCTTGGTGAACAGTAGCAATAGTTTTAAGTGAATGTATTTTCAGCTAGCTTGCTGCTTTGATACTCTGTTGTAAGGTGAATTAAATCCCAGTCAGAGTCCTAAAATGAACGTGCAGGAATTTCATGGGACACTGCATCATTTTTGTATTATGAGAGAATGTAAAGGACGGGTAGAAAGAAAGAGCAGCAACTGTAACTGTACTGACCAAAACTAAAAAGGCATCGTCATCCTTTTAAAGGCAGTCCTCCTTTAAATCTGCAGAATCGCAAGTAATCTCTCCAATTTTCTTGTGTCCGTCCGTCTTTAATCTCTCCAGGCAAACAGAACACCAAGCTGTCCCATGGGGATTTAAAAGCCACGTCAATGCAGTTGAATTAGCGCCCATGGCGCAATCCCACAGCCTGACATGAGCTCTGCAAGGCTGTTTATCAGAGGGTACGTTGTTGACTATTGACATATCTTTCATATAATGCACATATCCAAATTATGAGACAGAACCGGCTAATAGGACATTGTCAGAAATAAGGAAACATGGTAGCAGTTGGCTGGTATGGTATCCAGTGTGTGACAGGAGGAGGCTGACCGGCTGTCCTTGATACAGGGTCTGTCAGGTGTAAAATCATCCCTTAATTTTGTTCATGGGTGGTGTTCTGATTTGCCAGGGTTTCACATTTGTTGGCATAGTTTTGATTAAAATCTTGTCTTAGTGCATGTATTGTATTGTATTTCTTTAAATGTAGATGCTGACATCAGCGTAGGTATTTGTGTGGGGCCCCTACCCTTAGAGATCTCTCCATTGGACAGACCTGAAATGTTGGTTGAGAGCCTTTATCGCTGCGTTTTGTCAAAGCGGGGAAGCAAGCTGTCGCATTCAGCCTAGTGTTTCCTTCGGCATTGTGTTCGTATTCTGTTGTAATGTGTGCGCGCTGCACAGTGCTGTCCTATGACGCTGCATTCAAAACCTAATAAAAACGAGAAGCAAAAGTATAGTGTAATTCTTTACACCTGTGTTAAAACGACACAGTGGCACGTGCCTATGTTAGATGCAAGAAAACGCGGAGTAGATTTTTTTGGTAACAGCTTTGTCAAATGAGATGATCCATGTCTATCACATACATCACGAGGTTCAAGAAAAGCAGAAACTTCCATGGTTTAAAACAAGTTGCCTCTCTCAGTTATGTTGGTGGCAGCAGTCTGATATTTCTTACCGTTAGCTCCTTTATTTAATAAAGACATCCGTACCACGATAGACATGCTGTCCAAGGAGCAGTCTGGCTTTGTGGAAGGGGGCCGTCAAGGCTACACAAGAATCTGAGTCTGGGAGACTTGGGCGGTAGAACTGCCAGCTTCTGGCAGATGAGTGCTCGCTGACTTCATGCCTCCCGTTTAGTAATAGCTGTCGCAGTTTGATTTGTTGAAATAACCCTATTAAGACTCTTGATGCTTTTTAAAGTTCCCTAAGTAACTAACGCAGGAAATGGTATGTGTTCTGTCCTAGACCTCAGAATACATCATTCAAGCCTACAAGTATGGTGCATTTGAGAAGATCCCAGAATTCATTGCTTTTAGGAACAGGCTGAACTCCTCACTCCATTTTGCACAAGTCCGCACTGAACGGATGTTGCTAGACCTCTTACTTGAAGCAAATATGTAAGTGTGGGGCAGAGGCAAGTACGGTGGCAGGAACAGTGACCCAGTGAGGGATTCCTGCATGGGGAAGACGGCCTTTTCTGAGCAGGCACTGCTATCCTACCTGATCCAAGTCTTCAGCACTGCCTTCCTTATTCTGTCTAAGCTTTAGTTTCCCCTTCTGTAAACTGCTGTGCTGTGCCATTGCTTCCCAGGAGCTGGGGAAGCTAATGTTTGAGGGCCCTGATGGAATATATTGAAATTAAAAAAACAAACAACAAGTAAAAACCCTTGCTAGATGCTCCAATAACCTTTGCTACCTTTAGCTAGGCTGCAGCCTAGCTAGTCCATCTCTGTTACCAGTGTCCTGTCCCCACAAGCATTCCTTTTAACACTAGTAAGTTTTATTTATAATAGTTTTTTCATTTTCACATGCCACGGTTAACCGTTCTCTGCAGGGATCACGGCCTAGATCAGTGGGTTGGGCTTTTGCCTTTAACTTTTAAACCTTTGGTTTAATGACACTAATATTTATGTGCTAGATCAACCAGTTTAGAAGAAAGTATAAAGTCCATGAGTCTGAGTCCAGAGGAGGATGACATTCCATGGAAAGATTTGCGTGACAACAGAGACTTAACAGTCTTATTTAATTGGGATCCAAAAGACAGGTGAGTAGAAAGGTCCCAAACTGTAGCATGACAACCTTTCAAAAAGAAAAAATCCTTTCAAGGCGCATTCTGTTACTTAAGTATTCCCTAGACTGGCTAACTGTACCAATTTAACCATAGCAGCTTCGATCATAATTCCGAACTATGCACTTACCTTGCTCCTATTAACAAAACAGCGTTTCTAGCCATCCCCGTCCTCTCCACGTGTTGTTCCTAAGCTTTGTGCCTGAGAATAATAAAGAGTGTATGCTGAAGCTTGCTACCATGTTATGAATATAAAACATTTGCCTGAAAGCGTTTTGGTGCCTTTTTTTAGGGATATTTCTGAAGAACACAGGAGACTGTCATTAGAGGAAGAAACCATCTGGTTGCGAATCCGATCTTTAACTTTAAGGCTAATAAGCGGACTTCCAAGTCTTAGTCATGCTTTTCAGCCAAAGAACTCTGAAAAGACTGCTGAGAATGGAGTTTCATCCAAGATTGATACAATTCGTGCTCTGCTTCAGCAGCTGGAAGTGGCCATGGATTCAGGGAAGAGGTTTCTAGAGCAGACAATTCAGGTATCCGTTAAGAAACACTATCCCAGAATCTTAAATGAACGTGGATGCAAGCAGAGAAACTGAATGCATCTTGTAACATCCAGCAGGCTGCAAAGTACAGTTAACTGATCCTGAGTTTATAGCTGTGAAATCTGCCTGAGATGTGCCAAAGACTGACACTGTTACCCAATTAAGGAAAAGCTGCAACACCTTTATCTTTTTCTTTGCTTCTTGCCTAGTATCCTGTCCTTGGCCCTCCTCCTACCCGGATGGCTGGCTTCTTCAGCAATGGCAGCTGTCAGTGCCAGACTAGCTTGTTTTATCTTGTTAGTGATATTTATGAACTAGATACCAATGGCTTAGGTAAGTATGTGGGGAGGGCAAAAGCTTAACAGATGCTCACGGGGTGTAGTGGGGGTTAGACCAACAGTTTGAAATTACTGTGCGTTAGTTAATCAGTTATGTGAATGAGTTGCAGTCAACCCAATAAATTAACTGCATGTACATTTTTGAATGACACTTCAGCTTGTCAGGGAAATGGGTTTATTTAATCTTGTATACTTAAATTGTCTATTTTTACAATGATACTGATGTACCAGTTGAAAGCAATTCAATTCATTTTTGGGGGCATTGCATATTGTCCTTTTTTTTTTTTTTTTTTTTTTAAATGCCTCTTGGGTTTTTTGTAAGCAGATGTATCTCCTAACATATGTAAGAGAGTTAACAATAGCCTTTTTTATTTCAGAAGATTCAGCAGACATCCAGGAGAGGATAGGGAATAGTTTAAAATCATTACTAGAACAATTAACAGGTAAGTAGTAATGCAGGGACAAGTATGTAGTCCAGGTATTATTCAAACATTGTTATTTCTAACGGGAAGGGCTTTTTTGTAGCGTGGGTCTTGGAGTGCAGTGTAGAAAAGTGGCTCAGAGCATTTTAAAAACAAAATCGGACATTTGCAAGTGAAAGCAGGATTTCCTTAGGCTCCATTGATCTCGTCCTCGAATTGCTGCATACCAAGAACTGTTCTGTCCTGTTGTGGTCCTGTTTTTCTCCAAGTAGAAAGGATGGTCTTCTACCAGCTTTCTAGTCCTGGTTCATGGTGAGCTAAGAATAAGCCAAGCAGTTAATCTACTTTTTTTAAAATACTTATTCTGTACTCCAGGTGTTCATGCAATTTTAAAGCAAAAAGCCAAGGTCACCACAATTCTAGATTGCATTTTTAAGCAGAGTGATTTCATTATTGCAAAGATCCCTATGCAGCAGTAGAGGCCTCCTCTGGCACATTTTACATGTAATTATAATCTCACATTCTTTTTAAAAGGGGAAGAAAAATGGCTTAAGCTATTTAATGCAATTTACTGTCTTGCATCAGCCAAAAGTTGCAGATGTCTGAATTCTGGCTGGGGTTGCACAAAATTAGTTAGATCTGAGCCAGTTCTTCAGTTTGCAGGCTAGTTTATCCAATGAGGCAGTGTAACCTTATCAGCAGTCTGAGGAACCAAGGAGTAAAAGAACCTCACCTGCAGGTCAGGGTTAAGGTATTCTTATGAGATGGGCTCAGAGAACTGGCACTGCCCTTATTGCATCAGATGTGTGCACAAGTGTGCTGCATTCCCTGGGTCTGTCAGCCCAGCAACTGTTGCAAGCAGTGAAATCTGCATAGAAAGGATCAAAAAAACCCTGTTTTGGAATCAAATCACGTAGTAGGTTTAACAGCCAGCTTCTGCCAGCATGACAGGAAATGCATCGCGTGTATCAGTAAGTTGTAGAGAACTAGATCATACTTTCTCTGTCTGGGCAGGGAAGGCACTGTAAAAAAACAAAACAAAAAACAATCCAGGTGGAAAGGAAAATATAAAAAAACCCCAAACCTGTTTTTTTTTCCCCTACTCTTATACTCTTATAGACTCTAGCTGTCTTGCTTGTAAGCAGAGTTCCTGGCTTTTGATTTTAAACTAATTTTAATTAAAAAGAAGGTAGCAGAACTTCTTGGTATCTCCCACCTTAAACAAGTTGGTGCCAAATCTTGGAAACCCCTGGTTGCGTGACCTTCTGCTTCGTTCCTGGCTATAGATTGACTTGGGGAATGCACACAGCCCAAAACACTGGAGATTGTATTAAATGCTTTTTGTCAAGTGCTTTGTATGCAGGGCAGTTCACAGCAGTTCAGAATGTTATCCATATGAGAAATGACTTTCAGTCATACACCAGCTTGTAGTTAGCTCTTCTTATAGTTTGTGCCTTAAGTTGTGCACCACACAGAAAATTCATAAGTAAATATGTTGGTCCTTATTCAGAACATAAGGTTTTCTCATCCCCTTTTTAGATTTGTTCAATAAATGTAAAGGTGACTTGATTGAAGTCAGAGATGGCATCTTGAAAACTCATCCGAACGTTTTAGAAAACGTAGTCTTCTTTGTTGAGGTAAGTATTTTTCCTTTGCTGTAATTCTTAGTGCCTTTGGAAAATTTGCAGAGCTAATTTAAAACTCTTTCCACCTGAACAATCATCCTCGGATTACAAGGTGAAATGCATATTCTGCCCTCTTTCAAATTCTTCTCCAGCACCTTACTTCTACTGCCTGGGACTTTTCAAATAATGATGATGCAAAAATACACCCATTTCTTTGGTCGTGAAATTAAGAGGAGCACCTTAACATTTTTGTATCTTGGTGTAACAGCCCATTCCTTTTGATTATTGGGAAGCAAGTTGTTACTTGGAAAACCAAGATATGATATTTTAAAATAGACTGCCCAGACCTACCAGAATACAGTAATTAAGGTACTTCCTTTGCTCGGTGCTGCTTTTGCATTCCTTTCATCTTCTGACTATTGGGGGGGGTGTTAAATAAAGGATGAAACATTGATTTAACATCATTTTAGATGCTGTTGATGCTACTTGTAATGTACTTGTGTATTTGTCTGTCTTCCTTTCAGACTCTCTCCATCACCCTGTGGGTTTCAAGTTACTGTGACAGTGTCCTCCGACCCTTCAAATCAAACTTGCAAAAAAAGAAGAAGAAAAAAAAAGAAACCAGCATAGTTATGGTAGGTGATTCAGCAGAGACAAGTTTCAAGTCTTGTGTGGCTTCCCGAACACTGGTGGGTAGAATCTTCAAAAATAATTTAAGAACCCGAATCCCATTATAACATTTAAGGGTCTCAAGTTGCTTTAGAAGCCGGAATCCTAAATCACTTACACGTCTCTTTTAAAAAAGTTAACTTGCATCTCTACAGGAGCTGCCTTATTTTTGGAGAAATTATGGTTACGTTTTCTCTGTTTTGAAACCTGCGTGGAGTAGACAACTTCAGCTGCAAAACTTGTCCTTAATTTTGCAAGTTACAGCTACTATTTGTACAGATTAGTGCTGAAGTACAGTGCTGAGAGTGGTAGCCCATTACTAGAAAATCCATTCTAGCTCTGCCTAAAGGAATCCATTGTTTTACCCAATAATAACCTAATTTTTTACGTTTTAGTTTCCCTTTTAAAAATACGAGTGGTGAAAGTGTATCATCTGTAACTTTGTGATATAGCCTGTGAAAGTTTTGTTTCTTAATGGCATATCTCTTATTAACAGTCTGGTGTATACACTCGTCTATAGAGTTGGTATGATTTTTGTGTGCAGCTATTTTGAGTTAATCTCTTTGTTTTGAAAATGATAGATTTCTGCAATGAGGTGATCATCAAATTTGATGAACTTTTAGGTCTTTACATGCAACAGAACTGCACTTCTCATCCTCCTAGTTCTTTACATTTCCCCGACTAGTTAATGTTTGTAATCTTGAATAGAGCTGTTGGGAAACTTTTTTGATGAAAAATTGTTTTTTTTGTTGGGGTTTTGTTGCTGTTATTGTTGGAAAATTCCAGTTCATTTAAACCAAAACATGACACCTCCCCCCACCCCATTTCAATAAATGACTCTCTCAATGAGAGTCTTCAGGTTCAGGATGCAACTGAAACGGGCATGCTTTCATGTCTGGGATGTGGGAAACTGCCATTTTGCAAAATGAAAATATTGTCAGCAAAAGTTGAGAAGCTATGTTTAAAAACCACATCTCTAGGTTTGACACACAGCAGTCTGTTTTTATCAAAATAGTAGGCTGAATGCTTTTTGATGTGTAAAATGAACATAAATACGAGTATTTTAACTTCACTTTTCCCCTAACTTTTTTATAGCCTCCTGTATTCACCAGTTTTTTGGATTATGTTACTGAGCTACAGACATTAACTTCCAATGTTATAGATCATATCAAAGGGCTTGAAGTAATGTTGACTGCACTAAAACTTGAAGAACTGTCCCTTGAGGACACTTTACTTTCACAGGTAAGGAACTACACCTCATTTGACATGATCTTTCAAAAACAACTGGAAAAAAACAAACCCTAGAGAATCTCTTGAATAAATCGTATTCTTTCAGCCATATGTTGAAAAATCTTTATATCCATCCAAATGATTTGACTCAGTTTTGCCTGCGTGTAACTTCCTTACCTTGGCTCACAGATTGTTTGCAGTGCTAGTCATCATCACACATGCTTGTACCATGACAGAGCCAGATATTTAAGCAATTTAACACTACTAAGAGCCAGTGTATTAAAAATGGCTGTGTATCTGCACAGAGAATCCTGGACACATGCAATTTCCAGACCGACTTAAGAGATGGCTTTTGGAACAGTTATCCTTGGCGTGCTAGGTGTTGAAGAGGAAATGCTGATTTGTTATGGAATATAACTAACTACATACTAGCTAGGACCCCTACCATGGTTGTGTAACATTCACTTTTGCAATGCATAGAAAAAAATGTTGTCCTGTCTTGTGTGTGTTTGAAAGGTGTCTTGTGAGGTGGCAAGTCTCCCCACTGGTAAAATGGTGTTGATGGCTGCCGTTTGTTTAATGGCACGACTCGCCCTTTAGATCTGCACAGAAACAGTGGCACGCAACATAGGGAGGCAGATGTTACTTTGTTTTAGCTCTGGCTATACTGTAATGTGAAGGGGTGTCATGTACAATGGGAATTAAAGAAGCACGAAGAAGATGAGACTGTTCTCAGCTGTCTAACTCCTGCATCTTTGGAAACCTGGGAGTGGCAAGGTTGTTTAGAATTGTTTCATAACACGGGGGAAACCGATTCCGATATTCTTGAGCTCCAGTTTCCCACCTTGAGCCGTAGCCCAATCGTGCCTGTAGGATTTGGGGTAAGACTGACTCCTTGTTTATGGCTCGCTGCTGGTTTGAATTTGTCATTGTTTCTCCATGTAAGTGACTCCTGGTTTAATACATATTTTGTAGATCTAAATATCTTTATTTTGTAACTAATGTGGATGCTGTCTTACAGTGTTAAGTGCAAGGATATCTCCTGCAAATATTAGAGAATGTAAATTTTCTATGGGCCGTGTAATAGGTAAAATTCATATTGATATAAGTAGGAAAAATATGACTGTTTCAGGGTGTGTGTTAGACTGGATTTGAGATTGCATTATAATTTGAGTCAACTCAAATACTGCCCTTAATGTTGTTGTAGCGAGAGTTCAGTCTGACTTCCTCCCATTCCCTCCTTTCACTGGTGCAGAGGACTAGAGGGGATTTAAGTGATTACATTATTAGCCCGTGAAGTGGCTGACTTTTTTTTTTTTCTTGATGATTTACAGGAAGAAAAAAAGTTTACAAAGACTGTGCAAGGAAAAGTCCAGAGCAGTTACCAGCATTCAATTCAGGAAATTGGAGAGCTGCTGAAAAAGAGACTTGATACTGTTAAAAAACTAAAGATTTAAGAAATGCACCGTAGGCATAAAGTCTCCCTGACAGAGTGACATCATAATCCCAGACAGAAGCAACATCCGACGTACCATCACTTTAATCCAGAACTTCCTCACAAATGCATGAAGGACTTAAACCATAAAATGACTTTTTTTTTTTTTTTTTTAGGTATTAAAGGTATATTCAGCCAATTAAATTATTGTACATAAATCGGAAGCAGGGACCCTCCATTGGGGTTTGACCACTTTTTATACATGTTCATAAGCATACTGCGACAGGAAAAATTCAACTTTCTTCCCTTTTGATCTCCAGGAACAACTGGAGATTGGTCTTTAGAAGCAGCAATAGAAATCCCGTGTAAAGCATATATCTCAAAGGAATTGTATTTTCATCACCATACAGTGTTTATACTTTTTATGTATGGTCCTTGCCTTAGAAAAGCAGAAATTGTAGATGCCCAAATTCAACATTGGAGCTTGTGTGGCCTCTTCCACTGAAGCAGGTTAGTTCTGGAGCTCTCCGTTTTGTTGGCAAGCCACCTGGCCCTGCTTAGCTTACGAGTCCAGCGTGGAGAGGTGACCTTGTGTTGGAAGCACATCTTTTATTTATAGAAAAAGCCTTCCAGCGATGCTCACCGTGCACCAGATAGGGTCATACGTAAGTAACAATACAGTTTCCTCCAAGGACTGAACCCCGGAGAGGGCTGTTTGCACACAGATCACTTTCTAATGGAAAGGTAATTTAAAAAAGTACGAGCCTGATGTAAAACACAACACAACAGATTTAGAAAGGTGGGAATTGGTGGTTCAGCTAAAAGCTAGAGACCGTGTACATATCTGCAGTGAATTCTGACACCACAATCTCTGATTTCATGTCAGTTTAGTGTAAAACAGCAATCATCATGACTTTAAAAAAAGTGTACTTAGGTGCTTGAAACTTTAAAACTTAAATATTTTTAATGGAATTGAGTTCTATTGACTTACTATGGTTTTAAGTTGGCAGAGGTCATTTTTGCTTCCACTGTGGTATGAGGCTGAGAATGTTGCTCTTTTAAAAAAGAAAAAAATGTATGCTTGCTTTTGCAATTGATCTTTTATGAGTATCCAAGTACTAGTACATAAATTGTTCTGTTAGAAAAATGTAACTGCATCATCTGCTCCCATCAGATCTGCACTTCTGCTGTTTTAGTTTTTTAAAAAGTGATACGGTCTATTACAAATAGGCACAAGAAATACATGTTGCACCTAGTATCTGAGGGACACTTCAGACTTTTACAGATTCCTTATCTTCTGATGGAAAAAAGCAACTATAATCTGAAATCTATATTTAAAGTTCTAAGAGAGCTGACAACCCTAGCATTGTCATCTCTTCTGAATACATTTTTGTTAGAAATGCTACAGTGTTGACGAGAGTATTTTTTTAAAATAAATCCCTGTGTAAAATTTTAAGTTGCTGCTCTTGCTGGATTTGGTTTTACTTAGCCCCATCCTAAAAGGGAAAGA